TTGTGAATAATACCATCCGGATTATATGAAGACTGCATTTAAGTGAAGTTTTGAATCAAAAATTTGAAGGAAATTCATAACGTTTCAAAGGGGGAAGCGATGGATCTAAGCCCCGAATCAAGAACTAGAATCAAGAGTATGTCAAACTAACTCAATATTTTTGATATTTTGTTCTTTATATTTATAATTATCAAATATTTACTTGTAAATTTTAGTTCTTATTTTCAGATATTTGTGGAAAGGCTGAACTTTTAAATTGCATAGTTTAATTGATCATTAACTCCTATTAGGGTTATGCTAATGTTTTGTGTAATTTAATGTAGGAGGCTGAAATATTGAAAGCTTCTTGCAATGGATAATAGCAATGGCTGTTTCTTGTCCAACATGGATTTCCCAATTGTTTATATCCTCCTGGTTGTTGGCATCATCAACTTAATTATAGTTCGCGTTTTCTATGTTTTATACCGCAGCTGCAAAGCTCTTTATCCTAGATCACCAGGACCCCTCAGTACATTAATTGTTCTGGGCTCAGGTATAGAAAGTAGTCTGTTTCTGTATTTTTCATGTTTCAAGTTTGATCCGGCCTTTGCATAGAAGTTGGTTGGACAATCAGTTTATATTAAACTAGCTCACTTATCTTCCAATTCAAAGTTCCCCATTCCAGGCATCTGGGGACAGAATTTGAGAGTTTCATTTTATAGTTCTTTTTACTGCATTTAAATGTTGGTGTTATTTGATCCTAATGTAGGTGGCCATACGGCAGAGATGCTAAATTTGTTAGCAGTGTTACAGAAAGAAAGGTTTAAGCCAAGATATTATGTTGCTGCTGCAACTGATAATACGAGTCTTCAAAAGGCCCGTGTCCTCGAGGATTCCTTGGTGGATGAGGTATGTAACGTCCTATATTATTTGACATGTGTGAATCTAGGCGTCTCAGATATGTGAATAATTAAACTTAGGAGTCAGCAATGGATGCCTGGGCAGGGGATTCAGGGATAGCATGCTAGTATTAGGATAACTAAAGTTTTTCAACAAAAATTCGATATTGGAAAAAGTGGAAATAGTGCAATATCGAAAAAGTATTTTTTGTTAAACTGGAAAAGGGTATTCTAGGTCAGAGGATGCATGATATGCAAAGTCCAAATTTCTTCTGCTAGTTTATGGAATTCAAGAAACAAAAATTAATCCCTCCTTGGATCTTGAACAATGAACAAACACGGAAAATTTTAAAACTCAAGAATTCAAAACACAATTATATGGTCTGAAAGGATCCATGCATAGGGTGCATACACAGTTTATTAATTAAGAATGCAGGCAAGATGATATTTTAATCACAGTACGACTTCCTCTCTAAGAATCTATCATACTTAGCTCTTTATTAAGAAACACTACAATTCTGGTTCTGGATTGATTCTCACAAGTGAAAAAAGTACGTACGTACGTACGTACTTTTTTTTAAAATTTTTTTTTAACCTTACGGTTTACCAGCCTTTCAAAACTAAGATTTTAAATGCAACAGAAAAGAATGAATCCTTTTCTGTCACATCTTCTCGCATGTTTGAGATGTCAGAACTAGCCTTTTCAGTGTACATTGTGTTTTTTGTTAATAAATTTTGATTGTATCTTATATCTCATGTATTGGGGAGTCAAATCAGCATTTGAAGGATTAGTGGTAGTGATGAGTGTCATGTTTCTGTAGATGCCCAGGTATTATTGTTGTGTCCTTTATGTTTGCTTCTCTTGTTTTAGGCAGGCGTCGACATGGTAGGAACTGCTCATTTCATGCAAATATATAGGAGCAGAGAGGTTGGTCAATCGTACATAACTTCTATTGGAACAACCGTGGTTGCTATAGTGCATGCATTGTGGCTAATGGTTAAGATGCGGCCCCAAGTGGTATTGTGACTGTCCTTTATGTTGTTTTAAATTTTATTTCCTTAGTACATAACTTACTGCTACATTCTTTTCCCAGATTTTGTGCAATGGCCCTGGAACTTGTATACCCCTATGTGCAATTGCATTTATTTTCAAGGTTTGAATGCGTTAACTCCATTGTCCATTTTATTTCTTATTTCTTAGAGGCCATTACGCATTGCAAAAATTAATTCTCGCACTGACTACCTTAAGGTTGGGAACAGCCCATGATAATTTTTTTATTAAATAACTTTTAAATGCATCTTTCAGGTTCTCGGGATTAGATGGTCATCCATCTTCTATGTTGAGAGCATAGCTAGAGTGAGGAGGCTATCTTTGAGTGGCTTGCTTCTTTACAAACTACACATGGCTGATCAGTTATTTGTGCAATGGCCACAACTAAAAACGAAGTACCCTCGAGCTAATTACGTGGGCCGTCTTATGTAGCAGATTTACTTTATGCACCTGCTGTTACGTGAGTCAAGCTAGCGTCTATTCTTCTGTATCTTAGCATGATGTTTTGCTCCATAGATGGTATTAATTATTTTCCAGAAGTTATCAACACATCTAATAGTTATATATAATACTTTGAAACATAAGTTTTGTTTCAGACAAGTTAGTTATTTAACTGAGACAAAATTATAACAGTTACTATATTGAGATGTTGATTAGTGAAACCTTGTCATTCCAGATTTTACATGAAGAACTGAATTTTCTTGAATTAGAATGGATGGAGTTCAGAATATTGCATGCTGACACTTGTAATATATGCTTTTCTTTTCTACCAAAATTAGGTGCGATAATTTTTTGATTGAACTTCTCTGTACCATTGACTACTTTGTTAGAAGATTCTTGCCACATTTATGGTATGCTTGGTAACATAGACAAGAGAGTACTGGAAAATTAACGAAGCAAAACGAGCTAAAATTCTCTAGAATACTGCTCAGTCTTGACTACTAGTCTACTACCGCGTGCAAACACAGAGCAAAATATGAATAATTCATTTCCTTTCAACAAGGGAGATTTCAGGCTCTTTATCTACATTTATGCTGTCAGTCTTGGACTTCAAATCATCAATATACTGCTGATATATATAGGATACACACCCCCAAATAGCCCAACAGCATGGAAACAACTTTCACTCCAGTCATTTTGTCCTGGAAGACTGTAACTGCTAGAACTGGAACAATTGGCACATTTAGAGCGCTAATGACATTGGCAAAAAGAGACGACACTTTCAAAATCAATGCCATGAGACCAATTAACATTATCTGTCCTGACAATGCTGTCCAAACCAGTCATAACAAAGGATGTTTTCCCCAGTTCAAACCCCTCCATTTCTGCCTCCAAAGTTTTCCACTCTCCACTGGCGAAAAGGCCTACTAGAATGGTGCAAGTTGCCACAAGTGACATGGAGAATGTCACATTTAAGATCCCATTAATGCTTTCCATTTTCAGAACCTTCCCAAAAAGAGTTGCGACAAGGATAGAGGTAATGCGTATCCAGCAGTACCACTGAGGGTGCATATGAATCCTACTGCATACAGCATACTTACCCTTAACAGTTGAATCTGGAGGGTCGGGTCGAAAAACAAGGAGCGTGGACGACACAGTCAAGAGAAACACAGAGTGAAGTATAATAGGAGGGAACTTTTGAGAATTAAGGAAGTAGGAAAAGAAAGCGTTAAATCCCAATTGACTCGCACAAATGAGGGAAAAAGTAGAGACAGGAAGGTATTTGAGCCCAACTGTATATAGCATGCTATCAAACGCAAGGGAAATGCCGAAAGCAATGTATAATGATATTAGAACTAATGTGCTTTCATTGTCTGAAGTAGGTCTTTTAGTTGCTGTAATCCAGAGGAAGGGAAGAAGAATTGGAAATCCTGCAAGCTGCACAAGACTTCCAATCCATTTGCTTTTTCCACCTTTGTTGTAATAGAGTCATCCAAGCCCAAGGAGTGTCGCCGCTGCTTGGCCCGTGAGAACCAGGACTGTATATATAGCCATCTGGAGCCATTTTCTGTATTGTTTAAGCCCAATTGCTGTTGAGTGAGGATTGACACTTTCATTTTCAGGCGACTTTGTTTCTGTAACTTCCTGAGCAGCTGGTAAGTTGCACACATGATAAAGTTTAGAATTAGAAGCAAAATTGCAGAAAAGCCCAGCTTCAAACCAAGATTGGCTCGGCACGGCCCTCTTTTTTGGCAGGCCAGGATTATCTGGATCCGACGCTGCAAACAGGCACGGGCTCAAAGACTAATTGTGTACTTACAAAAATACCCTTAAAATTAGGGATGTTTTGAAAAATCATGTGAAAGTTTTTTAGGAAGTAAAAAATACTGTGTAAAATGAAAAAAGTGATGCAATGTCACTTTTTTTATAAAAATTGTCACTTTTTTACCTTTTTAAAAAAAAGTGACACAAACTCAAAAAAGTGACAAATAACAAAATAGCATCATCCATTCGTACAACACCAATAATCATGATTTTAAAATAATAGCACGTTCAGGCAAATCCACGTGCTGATTATGTTAGGAAAACATAACATATTATTTCATTTTTTTATCTTCTTAAAAAGTGACAAAAGCTTAAAATGT